TAGCCTGTTGAACACAATGGAGGTGGTAGTGTGTCTTTTTACAAGCAAATCCTGACTGCTAACGATAATCGGGTTCTTCACCACAGGTGGTCTACAAGAAGGGTAGAGCACAGAATGGAAGCAGTCTCGAGTGTTGACTACGACGGATTCCAAAGCCAGCTGTTGACTGAGGCAATTGTAGAGATCGCTGATAGGTCTTGTAGGAAATGGTGCATTGGTGCTTCTGAGAGTTGATGCAGACCCATTTTTGCCAGGACGTGGATGTTTTCCGAAGTGGAATACCCTAAATCGCATATAAAGTAGGTACATTCCTTTTGATTGGTCTTTGTAGCCTGTTCGTCTTATCACAATCTCTGATTTCCGCTAGGCACACGTCTGGGGAGGCCTTGAGGGAGCGTCAGTGAGATGTGTCAGTTGTTTCCTGTTTTTCGCACGCATTATTTTCCTGCTTCTACTGGCGCCTTGAGAATGCAATGCTGTGCACCGCCGAATTCACTTCGCCTTTGCCTCAGCCCCTTCTTCCACCTCCATCCATTAAAACAGCACATCCGGTGCCATTGATCAATCTGGCTAACGTCAGTAAACAATGAGAAATGTTCCCTTTGTGGTTACGCTATGAGCTGCAGCTTCGACAATTTGGGTCGTTGTGAGAGAAATTGTGGGTGTACGTCCTAGAATGTCACTCATCATGGCTAGCAAAATTCGCATTGCATTTCTCATGGCACACATATCTGAGGGAGGGAACTTTCGCCAATACACCATCCCAAGATTCCGTTAAAGAGCTGACTACCAAATGATACATTACTCATAATGACTGACATTGTAGAGGTCTTCTTCCACGACTACTAGCGAAACTTTCCGGATGAGGTAGGAAAATTGCTCTTCATATTGCAGAGTAAAATCTGTACATTTTCCCAACCCACGGAGCCTCATTAGTAAGCTGAAAGGTAAAATTAAGTTAGGCCATTTCACTCGAAACTGCAACATCCAACTATATTGTCTAGGGCCAAGCTACCTTAAATGTCTGCGATCAATCGATGGAAATTCAAATTGAAAAATAAAGCTATTTATCAATAACACCAGCAATATTAGATTTTTGAAGACCCACGAAGGCCAATGCTGCCGTAGTTTTGGCGAAGTAGTCATTGTGCTGGTTCCATTTCAAACAGTAATTTGAACATGTTTATCGATTTTAGTAAATAAAGCCATTGTCCCGATTTTTGAAAGTCGAAATTTTGATTGCAGTGGTAAATGTCAACTGATTCCCGAGTGATAGGTATATCAACTACTTCGTTCCTATACATCAATAAATTGAACATGTTTTTAAGTAAAATAAAATCCAGGTTCAGAGAATATACTTTTTTTTCTGGTGTGGTGAAGACAGTCATTAGGCTAATTTTACTCCAAGTAGCACAATCAAGACTTATGAGTTTAGTCGTATCCACCTACCATCCCATATTGCAAGCGTAGCGGTTTGAGTTTACGTTACGGAAAGTTACTGGGTTAGTTAGAAAGAAGCTGAATTCTAGGAAATGTTGTGTTGGGTCAGTCTTCGTGTTTCAAGTCTACTAGAGGAATCCAGCTTTCAACCTCACAAAGGCAACTTTTCAATTAGCTTGGTTGGAGTCGTGTAGTGTTTCCTCAGCGTATCTGCCTGTTTGCATGTCACTACTTGTAGTGCATGGTAATATCTTCGAAAATCCAATTCTCTTCATAATATGTGGGCAATTAACTCTTTTCCAGGTAACTCTCGGATTATCCTGCTTATTTTATGTGATCGTAATAGGAAGTTGACAACAAATTTCCCGGATGGCAAATTCTGGGCACGATGCTATGCACAAATCTTGAACCAATGGAACATCAAAAGATTTCAGTTCATTCCTAAGCACCAATTAAATGTTAGCTATTCTTAAACCGCAGAGAAATTGGTTGATTAAAATTTGGGTTCAACTTTGCGGCATTATAAGACACCGAGAGCAACAAAAAGGACTAAGCAAGCTTCATTATTAAAAGAGATCGAAGGTATGTTTGACGAAAAATTACCATGAAAAATGACAAAGACTAACTGGCTATAACCTGCGGCATTGGTCCCACTCAGCTCCTTCAGTAATCGAGCCAACTTAAAATTCACCAAATTTCAACTGTCACAACAAACGCATCTCTGGTAACACAGATGCGGTGCAACTTTTGTACCGCCGAGGAACTGTGGTGGTAATTGTTATTTGCGTAGCCGCGGCTCCCGTCTGTACACTCGCCATGCATTTTTCCCACACAAACGGCAAACGAGAAGGACAGAGATTGCAAGCCAAAGGCACAATAGGGAGCAGTTCCGGTCCCTCGAGAACCTCACCCTCGCGGTGGTGGGATAAAAATGGGTGCTTCCGTTCTCTCTGTTCCAGTTCTGCCTGCCTCAGGGCCCGTCCGCTCTTTTCATCTTTTCCGCCACCTCCTCGTGCTTTTGCGCTCCCGACCCCGATCAAGAGGCCCTACGCATCCTACGTTCTCTATTTCGTCGCTTGGTGTGAGATAACCGTGTCTGATTCACTTGTCCAAATTAGACAACAATAACCCCAGTCAGTCAGTGCGAGTCCAATGAAAGAACTGCACACTGAGGCGACCGACAAACTCGAATGTTTATGGTTTTGCCTATAGTTGGAATTCAACTGCTGCGTTGAGAAATGCTACCCATCCACGCGTCATTCGGGCATCAATCCCGTTCCACCAGCACAAACCAAACACCCACACTTTGGCTGCAGCCAATCGGGATCCGAGTTTTCTATTCATTCGTGTCGAACCCTCTGTTACTAGCCGCTTTAACCAGATGGCCGTTGAACTCTCCTTTTAAAAAACCCCCGTAACGTACTTTCAGTTATTGACTGTTAATTAAAATTAAGAAAATTTGCCAAAATTTACCAACGCGTCTGTTATTAATGGGCTTGGACAGAATATTCAGTTAACGCTGCCTTATCAGATATTCCATCACAATTTTAGTAGAAATTTGGAATTTAGTACCACAGAAAGACCCAAGACTCCAGTGTGACCGGGGTCTGTGGGACCAAGGAGTTGATTGGGTTTAGAGAACTGAAAAAAATTCACCTTTATAATCACGAAGGTCTCGGGGACTTAGTTCTCTGATTGTAGAAGGTGTAGTGGGCCTCTGTGCGGTTTTAGAAACCACACCAGGGCCGACAATTTACATTGACACGGCCCGACCGAAAGAGGAAGTCAGAAATGCAGATGACGCGTAGCTAAACTAATATACTAAAGCAGTAGCGGAGTCTGTGTGTGTGTGTGTGTGTGTGCGAGTACAGAATAACAAGTGCGTTAATATGGATTCGCCAGGCATCGATCCTTGAGCGAGCAGAGTCACATGAAGTGAATTCACGAGCATCGCTTGAATAGTGTTTGCTCAGGCTTGTTAACTACGTTCGCTCATGATTGATAACTGTGCTCGCCACAACGGTTTGGATGCAGATAAGCGCTGAATGCCCAAGCTTCTTTGAATGCCACTGCAGCGTAATCCTTAAGTGGAATAGAGGCGTGAATATGGGATGTCAATAATTGACTGTAGAGCCTAACAGCCAGATTCCCCGTAAAAGTTCAAGTCGGTTGTCGAATTAACCTTACCCACTAAAAAATTACATATTGGAAACTTTCTAGGCTAAGTGAACCTGCGTCTCCTGGCAAACACTGATTTCGGATGCGACGGGTTAACTGAAATGCCACTTTGAGTATGCTAATGTTCTCACCTGAACGCACCCAACTGCATCTCTGACGTTGTGCTGGAGGAGAGACCACGTGAAATCCTGCCTAATGACGTGTTCGCCACATTGCCGTTGTATTTATGCGTTGCAGATGACTTAGCTGTCCTTGGCAAAGTGCACCTCAAAGTGTACTTAAGGTGTCAGTGGGCATTTTTAGCCGGGTTCTTTCACTTTAGAGTAATTATTTGCTTTCCCAAGGTGATTTATATGGTTTTGGCGTTGGTGATCCCGCTTCGAGTTTGGATGTGAGCCTCTGGTCCCCACACTACTGTGGGATGAAATGGGAGTTTCCGTTCTCTCTTTTGTGCGTGTGTCTCATCCTTCATCGTAGAGCAAACCGGTGGACCTGTGAGAGCCGTATCCGGTTCACGAAGTGACACTTCCCGATGCACTGGGAGGGGGATGGAGGGTGCCGGCAGTACAATCGATAATTCAAGCAGACGGCATCGCGTTGTTCAATCCGGGCGCTGTGCTCATGTCCGGACGCAGTTCAGGCATCTTCTCCGTAAAACCTACACTACCGATGGCTCCCCATTATGCATGTCTGCGTAATCGACTTTATTTCAATTGTTTGGAACCTCTTGTAGAGGTGTAGGAACGTGGATAATCACCATGCAAATAAATAGTTATTTAATGACTTACGATTACCGAAGCAAACCGTTAGTAATCGTATATTAAAAGCTGATATTTTAACCGTTATTCCCGCCAACCTCAAGTTATAACAATATCAGGACGCATGACAGTTTTATGGTTTCGTCTTCTTTCCTAATGCCACCTCGTGCAAAATATATCGAGGCACCGTTTATAAACTTAAGCAAATCACGACTCCTCACCCATCCCAAATTCTAACTGACACCGCCATGGTGTTGATGCCGTACACGTCCATGCATGTCACCATTTCAAAATCAAACTCTGAGGCCAGTAGTGTCTTGCGTACAAGCCTTGGCTCACCCAGGCCACTCGTCTGATCTGCCAGCCTCAACTTTCTCTGCGTGTTGACTTTTGATTCACGCCTATTGCGAGTACTATTCTGAAATTTGCTGATCACACTTACCGCTGTCTGAAAGTTATAAATGAACATTCAAGTCGGTTTTTAGATGCCATGAATTGCTTAAACCCGGATGCAGTTTGTTACGAAAGCAGCAAAATGGTGACTGCAAATAAGCCAAGTTGGAAACAAGCACGCTGTTTGAAAGATATCTCAGTGAGAATGCATAAATGTCTAATGTTTGTCACACAGATGGCGACTGAATTGCAAATATTTGACTTTAAATTAACTTAGACGACACAAAAATTACCTTCACGACAATGATAAAGGCCAGGTAAATGATTCCGTGCAACTCCTTACGAATTGTCAGCAGGCACTCACATGCTCATTCTTGAGGGTAGAAGCCAAACACAAAGGAGTTTGATGTGTGAGAACCTCATAAAAAGAAAATAAGTTAGTTAGAAGTCAGTCAAATGGCCGATCTGATGAAAAGACCGTGGGTGAATTTTTTGTAAGTTGTAGCACTTTTAAAAAATTTCGGAGGATTCCTCGCGTTTCCATAGCGCCACCAAAGGGTAAGCGCCGGACAACGGTGGCATTTAACTGGTAGTCAGCGTTCCGTGACGACGGGACAAAATCGGCAATTCACTGACAGAGGCAAAATGCCGTTTCTCATCTTAAGTCGACGATCGTGGGTTTTGGGGAGAAGACGCCACAATGTGAGTTCATGGTGAGAAAAAAATGTTCTACCAGAGGAATTTAGACGACTAAACACCCAACATCAATTTGACGATGAGGAGATACTAGAGTTCTAGTGGCTTTACCATTACGTGAGTCCATAACATGCAACAAAATAACTTACTTTTTGAAAGCGATATGCCTCCTAGATATTTAATCGTTCTGCTTTGGTTACAAGTAGCAGGCAACATTTAAGAGTGTTCGTGTCTTGATGTGGTACTTTCATTCACAACAATCTGTAAAACCCACCTGTGGGAAGCTTATTCTTTATTTGTCAGAAGTTGTCTTTTGCGATTCCCTGACTACTCACCTGGACAACTTAGCTTTTATTTCTCATAGAATGTATTACACTATTTTGGGCATTACTTGCAGTTTGTCTTGTCTCGGGGATTTTCGGATTTAACCGGATCGAGTGTCGTTTTTTGTATCACTTGAAATCTGTGTCCCAGAGGGGCACCTCGACTCCAGTTGGAGATTGGCCAAATTCTATCTACAAAGCAGCCAAAGATTCAACTGAAGGGAACAAGCAGCCCCGGTGGACGTAATAACCACAGAGTCTACCAATAAATCAAATGGAGATAACACTTTGAGTACAATTTAGTCAACCTTTTAGCTGCAGCCTCGTGTCAATAAATAAAGACTACTTAGTTGCAGTAACTATAGGTGAGGGTGATAAGTGAACAAGGTAGCGACTGCATATTGAGCCTCCCTTGAACAATCATTAAGTCGCAGTTTCACGTGTCATCACAAGGTAATTATAGTGCTCTTTTGGTTGTTTTGCATTCTCCACAGTTATTTACGACATCAGTTTCTTAAACTTGATTAAAGATCTTCAAGTCCTCTTGCCGAGACCAATTACAGCTCTAGGGACCCTAAAATGAGGTTGGAGGCCGTGAGTGATGGGGATGGTTTTTAAGTATTTGGAGGACACAGCGTGTGAATGGTCATGGATTGTGCACAAATCGTGGGTGTGAATATGGGTGGTGGGCCTAGCGGAGAGGGTTAGGGTGCTCTAGTAAACGGACAGGGGCTGAATGACAAAGCGGCGGGCTGGTCAGCCTCGAGCTGGTCCCCTCGTCGGTGTGAACTCATGACGCCCTCCACACCATTTGGATGCAACGCAATTAATTCATGCCCTCAATAGACCTGAGTGCGAAGCAATAGAAAATCGCTGCTTACGTATTTGCATCTGGTGCTAAGTAAGGTTTAAATTGAGTTAGAGAATACAATGGTACAACCTCACGCTGATGATACTGATGGTTTATTGCCGGCGTCAAAGTAATATCGCTTTAAATAATCGTAAAGTTCTCAACTATGTCTTAAGTAGCCCAGTAGGACGTAGCCAGAGCACCAGACTGCCAGGCTGTCGTTTCGGAGTATTTTACCGAGGAGGAGAGGGCAAGAAAAAGACTTCGCTCCTTTTCCCTGTGAACTGTGCATTCAGCTTTCTCTTTACTCCCCTCACATCCACAACCACGGGCACAGTGATAAACCTAATGAAGGTCCCGTCATCAGGAAACTACAGGAAAGCCCTGATAACAGCGGAAGCGAATCTTGTTGCTGCCCTTGAGCAGAGAAACAGCGGGACCTTGGAATAAAAGTTACAGTATGGGGGCAGGGTGAAACTCCTAACTGATAATTTTCCAGGCAGCGGAGGAACTTCTATTTCTCTGCCGTATCGTCGGAAGTGGTCGCTCGTTTTTATCCCACGGAAGTGGCGAGGGGGCTAGAAAAGGAACAAGTGTGAAAAAGATCGTTGTGAGGGGCCATATTAGGGTATGGTGGGCGTGGCGGTCTCATTCTTCCGTTCAGGACTGAACTTTGACTTATTTTTCCAGTGACTGTGTAAAATAAATTAAGCTATTTACGAAACCATCCGCAGGACTCATTTACTCTGTATACCCCATTATCACTTGAGAAAGAAATGACAATGTAGAATGAATGCTTCTCGGACCTCCAATGTGCTTATTAAAAGGAAACCAACCCCACCTGCAAGTACACTAAAGGATCAATATCCTAGCATCCAACAATGTGTGCGTGGACGAAAGAAAATACTGCCTTCTTTGGGCCCACTTGCACTCCACCCCCTGCACCAAGTCGCTTTACCCAACGTCAAGTAATAAGGCAACCGAATACCGAGGTTGCAATCCATTACTCCACCCTCTGTTGGCACAGAATTCAATCACGGATCTGAATTTCGCTTTTGGTGCTGGTAAGACGTCTTCAGCAATAATCAGTGGATCCTTAGCAGGTCAGGTCACTCAAAACTCGAACAGAGTTCAGCGAGTGATCAGGACTCTTTACTTTTCACTAATGCATTAAAAACCTTATGAATGGAACGACGAGACATATTAT